CCAAGTTATTCACATGAACAAAGATGCAGATTTTCTCAATGCTACGTTACAAAAATGGCTGCTGAACACAGTAATTAGTTCGCGTTATTTCGTCTTCCGACTGAACGAGCTATTTCACCTAATGCAAATAGGATAAAGTGTCGTCATGGTGTATTTTGAAAAGTTTTGATATAGAAGCGAAACAATATGAGTTGGAAGAACGTTCTATGTCCTAGATGCGTATGCAAAGGTTTTATCGGCAAGAACGTCGGCTGTAATGCATGACAGGTTTCATCTGCTGGCCCCTTAGGTTAGTATTTTTGATGAATTGCAGCAGACTCCCACAGTCCTACTTGGAATTCGCCAGAGTTAAGTACTCCATGGTAAGTTCAATTGGTAGGAGAGCAATAGGAAACCCCTTCTTGTGTGTGTCGTTGCAGAAGGATAGAATCCTTGGGATCAATTTGAAACCGAGGAGAGACAAACCAATACGCACGAATCATATCAAGTTCAACTAACCAAGGCCCATGCAGCCTGCACTAGCAGTCCATGCCGCACCAGCCATGTAAATAAAGTAAACCAACAACGGAATAATTATAAGTGGAATGTAAGTACAAGTGGGTAAAATAGGGTAACAGCAAAAATAAGGGGTGAGAAGCCAACCAAAGGGAAACGAAAGTCATGTCAAAAGGGAGGGCTTGAAACAGCAACCATTTGCAGCGATTCGACATTCAAACTTCTTCACCATTGGAGCTACTACCACATCCTTGCATAGTGCGTTCTATGAATCTACAAGCCTACGTGATAAAGGTAGGGTCAATCCTAACGCGATCGGAGCTGGGCTTATGCAGCTTCAGAGAGTGGCCTTGAAGTGTTGGTATCAGAGTGGGGTGGAACAGTCGAGATGGAGCAGACCCAATCTGGCCAGTCAGTATAAGCTACTTAAGGCTCAAGTAGTCCCAAAGATGTCTATAGTATAGTGAAAACATCTACAGTCTGAGCAGCCTACGAGATAATTCTCCTCGAAGGCGCCAGTACTCACCGTTGCACGACATAACTGCCTGCATTCACCGGTGGTAGGGCACATGAAACAAAACACCACAGATTTTCGTCGCCTTACCTTGAGACGATACGATAACAACAAAATAGCGTTTACACCAGGAGCGCCAGTACTAGAAGACATAGTCCACGGGGGGCTTAACGCACGCTTTCAGCATGTTCGGAAAGATGGCAACCTCCAAAGTCCCAACCCGAAATGGTAGCAAAGAATGGCATCCAAAACGTGAGCACTAACACCAAGCTTTCGGTCACTTGGAGTTATCTATTTTCCCACAACTGCTCTCTCACGGGATATATGCGACTAAGGCCTGACAGCCATTGCAGAAGCGAGATCTTAAGATGTTGGAGAATCTGGAATATTGGCTAATCAGAAGAGTCCAAGAGCTACGCTATTTACCCTACCGAAAAAGAAACAGGGTGCTGGGAATTTTTCAATTAGCTCTGTCGGTGTTTACGTGGTGACCTCATCATAGTTTATCAGATTCTAGGAAATCTTACGTGCACTATCAACTATTAAAGCTCAGCCTTAACAGCAACCTAGAACGCCGTCCTCACAGACAGGCAAAACGAACTTGGAGTGTTTGGAATTTCTTCCAAGAAACGGTTAGTTCTATCCCCTGATACCACAATCGCAACAAAAGTTATGCCAGCTCATAAAAATGGATCTTTTGCCACTCTCTTTTTTCTTCACAAATAGCATTAGTGAGAAATGAATTGCTGGAAGCGTACACATCTATGCAGCACGATAGCGCTACGTCGACGCTTGGTGCCTCCTGGTTGATTTACGTAGGAGACTGAATACACGCTTTCTTCGTTTTAATTGTACATTCCTGTCCTGTGTCTCTTTACCTTCTACCTGGTACGTAGTTGAGGAACTCACATAATGGGGAATATAAGTAAGGCTATTCACGCGACCGTGTGAGCCAACGACATCTCTCGTGATCCGGTGAATTTGGGATCATATCTTAAACAGGATGGCGGTAAATCATGGTTTGTCTAAGAGCAGGGTTTGATCCAAATCCACCAAACCATCCTAAGAAATATGAGCCTTATTCATCCAGATACCAGCCACACGCAAGTGCTCTATTATCAAACAGGTACATCTCTTAGTATTTTACAAGTACGTGCACCAAACCTGTTTTCTTATACGTCTCGTATTTTCAGCTCGAACATTCCTAAAGCGCAACTATGGATTTATCCACGCGCAAAGCGGTAGTTGCAACTACCTAGTTAGGACTTATGTCATCCTGTACTTCCGTAATTTCTAGTTGACTGTGACGGTGACCTCAAGCATGAGTTACCACGGTCCGTTAAACGGCATGAATATTCAGCAATTTGCATTGCTGCTACAAAGCTGCGACGCCTGCGGCCTCATTATCTGCACGATGTTAATGACCAACATGGGTGTTCTTCCCCCTCTGGGAACTAGGCGACCCGTGTACAAAGCTGATCTATAAATAAATAAATGCTATATCCCCGGCCTTGTGAGGCACTCTTGTGAAGGCCTGATCATGATATACCAACAACAACAACAACAACAACAACAACAACAACAACAACAACAACAACAACAATTGTACAAAAATGCGGCAAGTTAACCAGTAACATACCGAATTGGTGCGTATGTATATTTGTAGGCCTATGTGCAAGTAGATATGGTAAGTGAACTTGTGAAAGGTGACTGAATTCGTGAGTTTGTTTTCTGTGTTCACCATCGTGTGAAGGGAGCAAAGGAACTCGTCAAACTGGACGACATGCGTGAAGTGGGGAAAATCCTCCGGAAGGGGAAGATGCAGTGACTTTATTTAGTGGCAAGTCACGTCTACCACGTCGTCCGGAGTGCTTAGTCCTTGGGTAGCGCACCAGAAGCCGCTCAAGAGACTAAATACACTGGCTTATTCAGCCCACACTGACTACCGGGCTCTAGTTCAATTTTTGCGTAACCGTGATGTGGGTCCGAGCTGAGCGTACGTTTCGACTGCCGACAAATCGACAATCTGCTGACAGATGGAGATCTAAACATTTCAGCTTCAGTTTCTTATCATTAAAAAACGCGTACACATGCAATATGAGGTAGGAAACGCGTTTCGCTCAGTCTTTGTCCCGGTCCGTTCAGCTTCGTGTGTGCCGAAGTGACCTGGCCGTCAAGGCGATCTGTCTATTGCTCGTCTGTGGCGACACATTCACCCAAGTATTTGCATGAGCTCGTCGACACGCTGCTGGATTCAACCTTGGGTGTGCAGGGCCTGGACCTCATGGCCTCAACAAGTCCAATGTGGACGTTCAAAACAATGAAAATATCTGAAAACGTTGTTCAGCTGATTGATTTATTGTCTTTCAGCAGCGAGTGGCTTCATGTGATGCCGCCAATAGGGGTTCGGTATCCATTACCACTTTTAAGGCGAGTAAGCGTTACTCTTGTACGTAGATAAATGAGGCTTCTGCTCTGTGGTCGTATGAGTGTTAGGTTTGTCCGCCTTGTGGCACTACCTCAACTGAAGTTTAGAACATGCTAACACTTGGGAGTTTATGCATTGGTATCAGTGGTTGTACGTTTTCACGCGGTAGGACAGGTTGACAGCTGAAAAACAGACACTTCAAGAGGCCTTCAATGTTGGCAGTCATGGTTAGCTCGAAGTGAGCTCATCATGATGTTTAACTGCTGATGCTTGGAAAACTAGGAGCCATATGGTGAACAGGGTTATCAGCCAGTGATTGCGACTTCTGAAGTTTCACTCCGAGCTCCAGGTATTTCTGTGATAAACTCATCCCCACGCTTACTGGAGGACCAGTATCTACAAGCAAGGCAACTTACAAGTGCGCATCGAAGAAGCTACCACGATTGATGACGAATGTCCATAATCGAATCATTAAACTCGGAGATCTACGTAATTTAACTCCCAGTTAACCAGCCCTTGTTGAAGAGCTCGATAAAAATTAAAACCTTTTGAAGAAAACACCAACGACAGCGAGTAATATGGAGAAATTATTCTATATCTAATGCGGTGCGACCTCGATCGACAAAAGGAATCGGAAGCGAAGTTACTAATGACTCCTGAATACCGTACTTTCTCAGAGTAGGTTTACTAGGTCTCTTCATTCATAGATAGATGACCGTATCAGTGAGTAGGGATGGATAGTGTCATGTGTGCAAGATACTGTCAAAAAACTTGCATTTTTGCCGGAAAGCCGAAATTCTTCCGTTTTTCTTCACTTCTGTAGGTTGAAAGTAGTATTTACTGGGGTTAGGTTACCCCATCACAGCAGCTCGTCATGATCAAAACTTAACCAGGTTTAGCAGAGTTTGAATATAACTCGATTTTGAATAACGTTGTATAGTGGCAATGTGTTGCTCAGAAGGCAAGCACTTCTTCATCCTAATGACGAAATGTCACGGTATGAACTTACACAAAAGCCTATTCGCATTCAAACCTTCCGGACTTACGAATCCGCAATATGTTCCAGGCTATTTTCGTGATATCTAGAAAGTCCTTCGTCCTGGATCAAATTTTTATACTCTATAGCTGTGGCCAGTCTAGCCTTCGTTTACATGGTTAGCTTAAAATAACACCGTGATCTCTCCGGTCACGTGCAATACCCGTCGTTCGCTCCTTACTGAACTAGTCGCAACATGGCCGCAAAAGAAGAAATGAAGCTTTGGTTGAACCACCTGCGACAAAGTTTCCCATTGCTTTAGTAAACCGATTTTATTATCCGTCACCTAATTGTGCTGTGAAGCTACGAAGTAAGCAGAACTACCAGGTAACGACCACAAAAGACGTTAAGTTCTGTCTTTGTCGGTAAAAATAATAGATGCCATTTGCTTTTACCAATGTTTTCGATAACTTCACCAGACTATCCAAGAGTGCTGATAAAATAATGCTTTTTAGCCTCTATAGAATCATTGTTCAAGCTAAGCAATGATGATTCGTCGGACAATACGTAGTGCAGAACAGGAATACACATTACATACTTATTCTGTATTTGAAAGCGCAGCAATGTACAGCGGCAAAATTGACATACCTTCAGTGCTGTTCATACGTGACAAATTAATAAAGATAAAAAGTGGGCAGCTGTCTGTAGTTTCCTCAGGCTACCGCTCTAAAGCTGAAAGCACACCGTTGGACTCAGGTTGGATTATTTCTGTGTAGAGCACTGGGTTGCAGGAGTTATCCCGTGTTGTCTGGTTCCCCTCGGGTCTGTGAATGGCTTTCAACAAGTCCCAAAGCATTTCTTTAAATTTTAGAGCACTTGGACGAAGTTTGTAATCCAAGTTCCACGCCTGGCACATGAAAAGCCATAATTGTTCATGCACAAGTCGGGGGCGATCTATCGAGGGAGGTGGTATTGGCACGGACACAGTTTGTGGGACGGAGAATAGAAGTGTGACTAATTCGTCCACGGTACAGATTGTGGAGAACGGACGCTTAGTCTCGAGGGAAAACAGCTGCCACAGCAACAATCCGTATTCCCATATGTCGGAGGCGAGATAAAATGTTTGTTCACGTAATGCCTCAGGGGGAAGGATCCGGAACGGTAGCTGCTTCTGACGAGTCAAAATCTGGTATCCCTCATTTGGTTGAGTTGTTCCTCCGCTAGACTGTTCCGTGATGGAAACGCGCACAGCTAGACCAAAATCACAAATCTTCGGGTTGAAATACTGATCGACCAAAATATTCCTAGTTGCTAAATCTCTGTGAATAATTCCGGATTCGGCTAGGTATGTCAGACCACAAGCGATTTCATACGCAATGCGATACAAATCACATATGGTCAGGTGGAATTCCGACTCATTGAGAGTGCATTTGTTTTTGGGACGCAAACCGAGTATTTCACTCTCTTCAATAGTCATGGTTCCCATGTCCGGAGGGCTACAGTTACCATTTCTGCTGTTGATACTCTCTGTTAACCCAGCTTCCTGGTCCAGTAAACTGCACACGCCGGAATCACATGACTGTATGCTCCATTTGTGGGTTCGCTGATTCCCATTGGTAATGTGGTGCGCTCGTTTTCTGATGAATTCACTCAAACTTTTGTGAGAGCAATATTCTAAGAGCAGAAGAGTATCGCTTAAGTCTTCCTTCACTCCTAGAGTCAATCCCATCATTCGAATAATATTTGGTCCAGAGCTTAAGGAAGGTAAAAGGGCGATTTCGTTTCGCAAACAGCTCAGACTACTGCTCTCACCTGATGCTGCCTTGATAGCCACGGGTGTTGCAACCGCCTCGACCTCTGATCCATCCCCATGTCTGTTTGCTCGCGAGCAGTGGGGGCTGAGCCATCCCTTAGAAACTTGGCCGTAATGCCCGAGGCCGAGGCGAACGGTGGAAGTTTGTAGACACTCCATGGGCACAGTCCACTTGTATGCCTCCTCCATAGAGCCTAGCAGCTGGGCAATCGCTCCTATCACCTTGGTGTGCTCCTTTACACATTGATAAGACACAGACCCCATGCCAGACTCGGGGAAATATGAATAGGGTTTGCACTTTGAGTACAAAATATTGCACTTTCGGTTAATGCGTCCAATTTTCAGCGTCTCAGTTGTCCAGCGGTATATGCAAAGGGACAAAATGGAAAATCCTGCCAACAGGACGATCAGAAGCACAACTGTTCCAATCCATATGTAAGGCTGTCCCGTTCCCGTCCCCCCATTCAATGATTCCGTATACGCTGGAGCGGAATAGATTGTTTGCACAGACGTAGCCCTCCCAAACGCATTCATGGCGATACACTGCGCAACAGATAGTTCTTCGCTGGTGTTCAAATTGTACTTGTGGACACACAGTGTTTCGTTGAGAGCATCCTGGGGAGGTTCACAATGTTCCACAGTGATCCATTCTCCATCACCGCCGTTCTGATCTCGCTTTTGCCACCATACCATAGGAGCGGGAAACCCTGTGGCGTAACATGCTAGCTGCACAGTGCCATTTGGAGCATCCGTGTGGGATTGATTCTGAAGCTGGAAGATTTGTGGCTTGGCCGGATTCATGACGTGTAGTTGCATCATGGCTTTTCTTTCCTCAAATTCACACTCGATATCCTCCGCGGACTCCGTCGTCTTCAGTTGGGACAGCTGCACCCGCACTCCACGCCAATAAGGCGACAGTTCGAATACCATTTGTACGGCGTCCCTTACCGATGAGTTGAACAAAATGGAATGGTTGGAAAATCTAAGAGTGGGCCACAGACTAGCAGGCAGTGTGGGAGTCAGTGGGCCGGGCACACCAGCAAGAAACAAGCATTGCATTTCCACCTGCCGGTCCCCGACGACCGGGACTATAGACGACTCGGACGATGATATTGCTCGCATGTTCGGTTGTCTCAATAGTAGCAGCAGAGGTGGTGTGTCAGAAGTCACATTCGACATGTCAACATCCATCAGATTAAAGTCAACCAAGTACCTACACTCGTGTTCGCTTTGCAAAGTAATTCCAAATGAGTAGGACACCTCACATGCCACGCACAACGCAGACGGTTGTTTGGCAGGTACGAATTGATTCGTGGTGGGAATCTGATCAATCCGATCAGCAGCTTCATGTTTGTAAGTGAACACATATGTCGATGTTTCGTTGTAGATGGGATGCAGCTCGAGCCTGTCACCATCCTTCGATTGCATCTCGGTTATGGTTTGATTGAATTTCACCGACCATGTGAACCTCGGTATTGCCTTAGCTTCGGCCCATTTCGGAAAGACTGGCGGGCCTTTCAAATCGTGTTTACATGTCAAGTTGAATGGATGCAACACGTGACTGTGCATACCGATCACATGTGGTCGCTGCCATGTCGACGAATTAATGACGTGAACTGCCAATTCTTCACGCTCGTAACCATAGCCAACCGTGATCCACCCTAACATGGACGAGTTGACCGGACTGAAACTGATACTGCACCGCCATCGATCCGACTCCCGTCTGACAGACAGCATCTGGTTAACATTGTCCGCTTGTCCACTCGATAAGTTCAATGTACAAACTGGTGATTGTCCTATCTCTTGCGAGTGCCAAAAGTACAGGTTCAGTTGTGCACCCTTTGCTATGTCCATCACCGCTAGTGGTGAATGACCAGTCGACTGGAGAACATGTATGGGCCCCTCCACAATCCAGTGCAGCGGTCCCGCAGTTTCCACGTTATCACTACCTGGAGGAATAATGAAATGAGCCATTGTGCTTGCCGGAGGAGCCTGACGGGCTGGAGTCAACACTTCACAAGCCACACTGGTGTTGGCCTGGATAGGGGGCAACTCAAACTCACTGATGGCGTAAACGCGCGGGGGCTTTGCAACCGTAGTGAACCTCACGGTGGGACAGTCGCTCAATTTCCGTCCATCCAATGTACTGCTTGAAGTGTTGTGGACAATCGGGTTGAGCTGTAAAGTAAAAAGCGCGTGATTAGTGTTGATAGTCGCTCAACTTGAGCTTGAGTCAAGAGGAAGGGTATTGCTCCCTTTTCTATCACCCAAACACCGTGACTCTGAAAGTGCAATGAAATAGAGGTGGAATTTCTGTTAAAATGCCACAAACTCGTCTCCATTACTCCAAGCGACATTTTAATGTTTTCTCAGTAAAAACACTGATTCACTGTGTTTGTTTTAAAACCATTAACACATTTAGCTGGAGAAGGTTCCCACTTTAACGCATGAAAATTCTAAGGAGGTGTCTCCGGCTAGATACAAGGAAAGTTCAAGTCAATATGAGATCTAACTAAACTTAAACAAGTTTTCCATTTCAGATTTGCCAACCACATTCATTTTTCAGTGGATTTCCTTGCTTTTGTTATGCAATTATCCCAGCGTTTCACGCATGCTTAAAGTGCTTCAGCACAGAACGTTGGTCAAAGCGTCTGCATCGATTTAGGATAGTCTGCTTCCTTTTCAAGTCGAGACTAAATAAGCTGTATACACCAGTGTGTTGGCATTTTCAGCAATTTAGACTAACTCTGCGGATATAATACAATATAGCATCAGTGGAGAAAAAATGTAAATTGACGTCGTAAATAAAAAGAGTTCATTTCAAATCAAGCAAACGGTATCGCAATCGGTTCATAATTGCTTTTGGGTTGACTAACAAGTGTGACAGATATGGCGAAGTGCTGTTGCGATACGACGAGGTACGAGGGAATAAAACTTTAAGTTTTGTCCGCGTGGGAGAAATGGTAACCGTACTGGTTAGAACTGTGTAGAAATGATATACGGAAGATTGTTTTAGGGGTCCAAACAAGCGTACTTCATTTACCACTAAACATGGACTACAAGGAAAATGCGAAGATGCAATCCAGGAAATACTGGCATTCCATGTCCTAGTGGTCTGTCGATTCAGTGCTAAACGCCAAGCATCTGTGTAGGTCAAAATTGGAAAGTTGTTTTGGAACCCATAACGAATTATTGTCCTTACTGTTCCCAAAGAAAGATTAAACGCGTTTGCAGTGATAAGCTGTTCAATTTTATTAAGGTTCCCAGTTTTGAGCTTGGATCCGTCTTGGCGCTTACACCGTTCAGAGGTTTTAGCGCCGCTGTGTCTTCGCATCATATTGGGACCATAGACTTCTATGGACTTCAGCTGGCTTGATGTGCTCCCTCTATAGAAATGTTAACAAAACACGCTTGTTGTCTGCCACTATGATACACTTTACATTGAACTGTGCATGAGAGTAGTGGTTGTTGTCAGCAACAGGACAAAATCCTTACTGGGGGTTAGATTTTAAAACCGGAAATGGAAAATCCTTCTTTGACTTAAACGACCAACGTATAGTTTGCCAGCTGAAAAACATGGCGTAATCGCTTTGTTGCATTGTTCGCGAGACTGTAAGTGTGAGTGATCATATTGAATACATTCGGTCACTCAGCTACTCGTTTGTGTTCATGAAGTTACTACACAAAGTCACTACACAAAGTCACCTTGCCAGTTAACCACCGGAACCTGCAATTATTAAGAACATTTCATATCAGAGCTTCTGACCAGCGCATTGCTGACCTTAGCTTTAAAATAGGATGCATTGGCAGGCTGCTAAACGGTTAACACCTTGTGAACCCAGCGAATTTCTCCAACTTTCTTCAGGATTTATTGCCATAAACACGGCTGATAATTTAAAAGTCGCTTAATAGTTCCCTGTCACAACTATTTCAACAATTAGGCACCAATAAAATCGTAGAAATGTGTGTTAAACTTGCCCACTATTTCCCCAAGTTATTCCCAACCTGAAGCTCTAGTATTGGAGTCCAATATCTCAGTCTCACCGAATAGATTTAACAAAGGACGAAAGCTCAGCTTGAGTACAAAGATAAACAACTTTCCAATTTAACACCGGCCACTGAGGGCGTAGGCGATCGGTTTCTAACGAAAATAATAGCCTAGACGGTCAAAGGATCACTGGCAATGCCCAAAACAACTTCGGCGAAATAACATCGCGGGAATACTGACGCCCAACAAGAGACAAGGAGCTCCAAAGATGGAATAGTTAACCCGTGTCTGGAAACTGGTTTTTGGAGACCCTAGCCGTTTTGGTCACCATGTGGCAAGTGGCGACATAACGCAACAGGTTGATGGGTTGGTTGCCCCATGAATTGAAGAAGCTAATGGATTCAGAATTGATAGAGTTAACACTTGTGACACCCCCCCCCCCAGAGATCCTGGCTCCGTATACCGACGGTGTATCGAAGAGTCACAAACAAGGCACCTACTTTTGACCCGTCGTTTCCAGGACAGGTACACTGTGCCACAAGGCGACCCAATTATTAGCGGAACTCATTTAACATGACCGAGAAGACCTAACCAGGTACAACCTTAGCTATGCGTCTGAAGTTATTAAGAAAGGACGGAATTTCATAACAGAAGGGAGGCATATGGGCCCTATATATATATATATATATATATATATATATATATATATATATATATATATATATATATATATGTATATATATATATATATATATATATATAATTCACGGACATTCCATTTAAAGGAACTTTAGCTGTAATAGAAGCAATGTCGACAAAATAGAGTTGCCAGCGCACCAACTCAAGTTGCTATACCGCTGTACATAAAAAACCCTACTCCTATTCAGTTTTAAAGCCGGTATATGAATGACATATTCGCTGTCACTGACACTGCTAAACAGGCGACACAGTTACTAGATAGGCCGAACATTTACAATCCCACGATCATATTCACGAATGAAGACGAAGCAGTTATCTCATTTCCTTTCCTGGATATTAGCCTGAGGAGGAGGCTAGATGGTACAGCTGTTCGATTCGGGTACAGAATTCCCACATGGATAAGACTACGACAACTTTAGTGGCTCCTGTCCAATGGACTGCATACAATCTTCAGCTCTTACCACTTTCACGACAGCTCATCAAAATTGTTCTCAGGCTACAATAGAAAGCGAACTTGAACGTGCCACCTCGGCTCTACGGAGTAATAGATACCTTAAGTTTCATGGCATGAGGCAAGAATCCAACTCTCAGGGTGAAGCTATTGACCGATGTTTCTGACGGCAGGCAATCATCGTGCTGCCATTTGAAGAGGATTAAGATGATTAGTGCCTATATTGTTTCCCTCAATCTAGTAAGAAATGTTATTTACGCCGATGAACTAGGTGTCATTACACCAAGTCAGGAGGTAGCTGTGTATATCCAACGGCCGTCTGGTGCTTTTCCGGATAGCTGGTCGACATATCTGAATTGTCGGCTGATTGCGACGAACGAAAATATCCAACCTGGTCAAACAACAGTCTGAACTTACCATCTCCTTCACTCCTTGAGGTAGCGATTAAGTTGCCCGAGCTGAAAGAAGCAGCGCAAAGCACACCGCGCCTAAGAAGGTCACAGGCAACCCCAACCTACCCGCTAATTCGGCTGTCAGTCAAGTACATGATTGCTTGCGTGACAGAAATTACGCGGACCGTTTAAGGTAAACAGCATACAAAGAAACTACCGCAAACATTCAAATTACCAGTGCCTCGGTGATTGTGACTAAAGCCCTATTTGTACTGACTGACAGAGTTTGGGACCAGCTTCACTTTGGTCTGGTGAGACTGGACACCATTTTCCTTATACCGGAGTGCAGTGTTATTTTGCTTTCCTTACCGATATTTCGCTCACATCTTCAAGCACACCCCGTACATATTTCCACGAGGTAGCCAAAATGGCTTAGTTTGGAATTAACTGAAGAGTGACAATTGGTTGACGAATATTCTTCATAGCCAAGAGAGCTTTAGTGTAAAGTAGACTTTTTCGAAATGAAACAACATGTTGCATTCTGAGAATGTCAGGAAATGTAAGTAGTGATCAGATTCTATTTCTGCCTCCACTCTCTTTGGAGAACCGAAAAAGTTGAGGTAACGCAGCTTTGATAACTTAAGTAGTGGCACGATTCCGGTCGTTTACGCGCAGAGTGCAGCGTGGTACCCGGCTAAACTGTAACCGACCTTGCATACTTTGTGCACGAAGAATTGAAGTATTTACCAGTGACATTTCACCCATCAAATTTACGCAATTGGAATACTATCAAATCAACCGCATTTGCTCCGATGAAGGCTAGAAATAATAGATTAACGCAACTCAACGTACCTCATTCCACCTTCGCTTGGGGCTGAGGAATCCCATAAAATTTCCCGTGTTACGCTTTGGATTCCGGTATTCGATACTTTCTTGGATTATGAAGCCCAGAATTGTTGGGAGCGATGTTTGCGTTATACTATATGACTGCCGCTTCTACCACCAAAACTGTATTTGAAGTAGAGGCGATTCGTTTAGCAGAGTGAACTTGAACCAACTGTTTGTTCCACACGACACTTGATCCGCCCTTACTCCACCAGGTCGAATTCCTTCAGGCGCACACACCTGACAATGTGCCTCTGATTAATGTAATGGTATGGATTGAATGAAATCGGTTGCGCCCATAAATTGTGACTAGGTTCATGTAAACGTGCGCATATAATAGTAATAATGCCAATAATGTCAACTTGTTATCGAATTTTTGCAAGGCACGTTTGTAGTTGCATGATCATATACCAGTCATCTAGCTGGTCATGACGCCATGCAGCCGGTGTTCGCAAAGTTGGACATTTCTTATGCGCAGGTCAACTGGAGGGTCAGGAGCTTGAATGCTTTCTAATCTACACTTGGCTAGGCCATAGTAGATTATGCGGAAGTGCTGCCCACCTGCTTTGACCGCTGTCAACCGGTTATTGAGTTTCAGTAGCACAGCAGTTCGACTACAACGCCTCACTCCTTTCCAGCCTCCCCGTTAAGTCGTCTATGAGTTATGGGTTAATGCAAATAAACGCTTAGTGCCGCGTATGATTAACCGTAACCGAGAACTCGAGCTAAGTAGACCTGTTGTGATCCAACCCAGCTAGCGAGA